CCCTCACTCTCGCTCTCCCCCTCACCTCTCGCTCTCTCCCCTCACTCTCGCTCTCTCCCCTCACTCTCGCTCTCTCCCCTCACTCTCGCTCTCTCCCTCACTCTCCTCTCTCCCCTCACTCTCGCTCTTCTCTCCCCTCACTCCGCCTCTCCCCCTCCCTCGACTCTCTCCCTCACTCTCGCTCTCTCCCCCTTCACTCTCGCTTCTCTCCCCCTCACCTCTCGCCTCGTTCTCTCCCCTCACTCTCGCTCTCTCGCGCGCTCTCACTCTCCTCTCTCTCCCCCTCCTCTCCTCTTCTCTCCCCCCTCACTCTCGCTCTCCCCCTCACTCGCGCTCTCTCCCCTCACTCTCGCCTCTTCCCCCTCACTCTCCTCTCTCCCCCTACCCTCGCTCTCTCCCCCTCACTCTCGCTCGCTCTCCCCCTCACTCTCGCTCTCTCCCCTCACTCTCGCTCCTCTCTCCCCCTCATCTCGCTCTCTCCCCCTCACTCTCGCTCTCTCCCCCTCACTCTCGCTCTCTCTCCCGCCTCTCCCCCTCTCTCTCGCTCCTCTCCCCCTCTCTTCTCGCCCCCTCTCACTCCTCCTCTCCCCCTTCTCTCTCCCTCTCCCCCTACCTCTCGCTCTCTCCCCCCTCATCTCGCTCTCTCCCCTACTCTCCGCTCTCCTTTCCCGCTCACTGCTTCTCCCGCTACTCTCTGTCCTCCCGCTCTCTCCTCTCCTACTCTCGACTCTCTTCCCCCATCTCTCTCCCTCCCTCCCTCCTCTCTGCTCGCTCCTCTCCCCTCGTCTCGTTCCCCGCCTTCCCGTCTGCTCTCCGCCCTCGTTCGCCCCCTTCTCCTCTCTCCCCCTCGTCCCCTCTCGCTCTTGCTTCTCGTCCTCTCTCCCGTCTCCCCTTTGCCCTCTCTCTCGTCTCTCCCCCGTCGCTCTCTCCCCCTCGCTTCTCTCTGCTCTCCTCCTCCCGCTCTCTCTCTCTCTCCCCCCTCGCTCTCTCCCCCCCACTCGCTCTCGGCCCTTTCCCCCCACCTTGTTCTGTTCTTACATGTCCAATTTTAGAAGAATTAACATTAAAAATGTTCTGTAACCAAAGTGTGTGTGTGTGTTTTTTTTTTTCTTTCTTTTCTTCTTCTTTCTTTCTTTTCACCTAACGCAAGGAATCTAACATTTGAATGTTTTAATTTTTCAAGGTGGTGATTGCATGACCCAAGGGTGCCTTTGTGACAAGCAGTGCTTTTCTTTGCCAGTAGAGGATCAAGTGAAAAGGTAACTTTGAGCTGAAGTAGCCATTTGAACCATTAGTTTGCATGCATTCTACATTCAGTTTGCAATATAACATTTTGCTTTAATTTAAGTAATTATAAGACTAATAATAATTTTGGAGTAACATTTTTGCGATTTATTAATTTTATTTGGAAATGTATGTATGTTATAAATACGTTTGTTAAAATTGAAAAATGGAAAAACCTTGTCTATTTTATAGGCCTTCACATATGTAATTTCACCAATAAAAATTTCAGAGTAATCTAGGTGAACTTAATCTGTTGTAATTGATTAGAAATTATACTTTTATACTCCTTTAATACATTTGAATTTCTTGGTGGGTGAGGCATTTGATTAACTTGTTAAGTTTGATATCATTGTATGTGGTCCTGAACCCCAGAAATTGCAGAATAGGAATATATTGCATATAATAAGCATATAATGTATTGCACAAGAATGAAATGTGTACATGACACAGTCATTTTCTTCTTATTTCTGAATTTGCATTTTGAATTGATGTATGTAGTTAATATATTGTTTAATAATGTAATGTAGCAATAAAAGTTTTTCTATTTAATTCGTGTTCTCATGAAAGATACCTTTGGAATTGAATCTACATTAAAAACTACAATATTGCTATCTTAACCTTGTGGCACACATGCTGGTAAAATTTATTGGAGTTCATATGGTGGTCTCACAGACAAATTTTTTGATATTATCTCATCTTGGATGATGTAGCCTCAAAAGCACAATAATATCCTGCCAGCATTATTCAAATTTTCATTAAACTACAGTGTTCAACAATAATAAGAATAAGATGTTATAACACGTTGTGAATTGAGCTATTATACACTGGACTGCGGAATGCAGCATTGCTTGTGGTGTGATTGATTGTTCTGGTGACAACACCACCACGTTTATTGGAATGAACAAAATACAAAATTGTCTACAGTTTGTATAGCTTATTCTTCCTGCCATTTTTTAAAGAGCATTTCGATTTGTATTAATGAAACACACTGATGGTTCCTGTTTTTTCAGGTGCCAAAAAGTATTTTCTGTTGGAGGTCAGCGTCTGAATGAAGAAGAAAAGTGCAAAGAAAATTCAGTAGCAGTGTGTAAAAATACACTTTGGGCCAATGAAAGTGCTTGTGTTGGTTTTTTTAAACACAAGCTGGAGGGAGGAGGGTTAGAAGAGAAGAATAATTTTTCCTTTATGGCTGAGAAACCTGTTCATGAAAAAGGGGAAGGATTTTGGATGGCTGATACAACAGAAACTGGAAACAATCTGTTCTTACATGATGAGAAGCTGCTGTGGGATAAAAAAGATGAAGGTTTCTTTTCTTGGAAAACCTTAGATGATAAGTCATCTACAGGTGTGGAAGAGATCTTCAAACATGATGAATATTCTGATGGAATTCAGGATGTGTGGGAGCCTGATCTATTTGGTAAACAGGCAAAAAGTCGAGCTACAGTTAGCATGCCACATGTGGGAGCAGGTGCCAAGTATGCTATCCAGGGCCTGTCTGAAAGTTCTGATGAAGATGTCAACTTGGCTCAGTTAATTGCCAAGTTTGATCACAGTATCGAAGCCATTTGGAACCTTGGCAGTACTCGCCCTTTGTCGTATGGTGCAACTGATGAGCAACAGAATCTTCCCTGGAGTTTTCACAACTTTGTATCCCCTTCCCAAGATGCCGTAAAAATGGATCAGAATAGTTTTGAAAACAATTTGGATTCCAGTTCGGAGGAAAATTCTTTTATACATTCAGGCACCAATATTGTAAATTCAATTTGGTCTGACCAACCTTTTTTAAGCAATTCCACAAGTCAAGAATCTGGGGTAAAATATGTAGGTGGAGGGGTCAGCGATTTTAATAATTCTATAAATGATGATCATTCAGATCTATGTTGTAAATTGAAAGTTTTGTTAACAACTGATGAAATATTGCATAATGAATTTAATTTGTTTGAATGGAATTCTGGAACTTCTGAAACTCGAATTGAAGTACCCAAACATACTAATGAAAATTGCCTGCAAGAAGTTCCTGAATGTTCCAATGTTTTATGGGATAAAATTCAATCGTTTCCTACTCTCTTCTCTAATGTTAACTTTCAAGAGCAGTTTTGTCGTATGGAAAATTTTCAAGATGCTGACTGTGAAAATCAGCAAAATGAGAATTCATGCATGATAAGTTGTTCATCCCCTTCCATCTCATGCTTTCAGGGTAGTTGTCAGGATAATGTTCAGGATACTGCTGATAATGGGAAAAGAAATTTCAGTACATTGAATCATAACCGAGAGGACAGCAGCTTCACTGAAGTTTTACCTCGGCATGCTGGATCAAACAAGCTGTATCAAGAAATAAAAATCGGAAATTCATGTACAAGTGAGAGCGGACCTGTTAATGATGCTACTGATCAATCCTGTGATGAGAACAAAAGTAATTTAGACACCACAGGAAAAGAAGAAGAAGAAGATTTGTTAACATCTGCTCGTACACATTTCCGACCCATTCAGCAAGAAAATCAAGAACCTCATAACAACCCTGCTAGCTCTTACGCTGATGGAACAGAATTTACAATTTCAGGCATTGTTGCAGAAGTGCCGTTTAAACGGAGTGAAAGTGGAACCTTGTATCTGGATAGTGATGATGTTCCTGGCACACCAAAGAAGTACATGGAATATAAAGAAGATAGGTCTGGTGACCTGATAAAGTGTGTGCATATTTCCAAGGATAATTTAGGGAACAAAGAAGCCTTTATTCCAAAGTTTTGTGTTCGTCAGATTGAAAAGTGCTGCCAGACGGATGAAAGCGATGAAAGTTCTGATGAATTGAATTTTAAAAGAGTGAAGCGTGATTGTGCTGAGAAAGAAAGGAAATCTAATTTATTTTTTTCGGGAGATGAAATTGTCAAAAGTGTAGCTAATTATTTAGATGAAGACAACAGTAAATTTTCTTCAAATGAAATTGGATGTAAGGATAATTTTGATGATGAAAGAATGGATATTTCAATGCAAAATGCAAAGAATGATTCAGTTTCAAGAAGTTTGGAGGCAGAAATGTATATTTGGAATAGAGCTGGTTGCAAATGCAACAATAACTATATGTTTTCTTCGAAGAGCGACTCACTCAGAGGTTTTGGGGCTAGCTTTCTGGGTGAGAAAGAAGGATTGTGGGAGCCGGCTTCAGCAGCCCGACTGTGCCAATCTCGGTAAGTTTTTTCAAGATAACTGAAATTTATTTTATTTTAGAATTGATTATTAACAATAGAATCCTAACCATTGGTTGTACCAAGAATGTCTGCAGTGTGTCATTCTGATGAATCGTGGATTTTAAAGGCAATTCTTAAAGGCAAGGCATTTCTATTTTGAGGAATTTGATTACAGTTAGAAAGAATTTAAACTTCAATAAGAAATTTCTTATCAGTAGCCTTGTAAATGAAATAGGATTGTATATTAATTAATTAATTCAATATGAATAATAAACACTAAAGAACAAACTTTACCAATGTACAAAGAAAGTTTCCACTTTAAAGATTGGTTATATGTAGCACGTTTCTTACACTTGTTTTAAAGATTTTGCTTCAGCCCCTGGTCTTGACATGGTTTATTTTCTGGTTCATCTTTAATTTTGAATCCTTTTCCAATTCTTTTGCTTATATAAATGACAATTTGTATGTTTATTTGAAAATATTGGTTACAATCTGTTCTGAGAAACTTCCTCAGTTGAATAGTTTATTTCAGAAACCTGTCAAACTCCAAATTCCTTATTTCTAGAAAACAGAGAATAAGTCTCTCAATATCTCAGATTTTGATTTTTTGTTTCTGTAAAAGAAGTTAATAAATGAATATTTTTCATATAAGTTATGCCCAAAATGATGCATCTATCCTCTTGGAACGATAATACATCGCTAAAGTGTGTTATAGATTTTGGCGTTTAATGGGTTTCTGAAATAAATGATTCAAAAAGCCAATAGTGTTTTGAAATAATAATTTGGGTTAATAATAAATGTAAAAACATACTTATTTTTCAATAAATATTAAAAAACAGTTGCATTGGCCATCTCTTAGAACAATATTGTATGTCATAATCAAATCATACTATCATTAATATTCACTAAACTTTCTCGCTATACTTGTTTCTGAAAGCTTTTCATGATAAACAATATTTTAGTTACATTTCTTTGCATGTTGATTAGCATCAGATCATTTTTTAGTGTGGGTTATGACTATTTGTTACCATTTTTGCTTTCTCACTACCACTTGCGCAAGAGAAATGCTATGGGGGGAAAAGTGGCGAATTTTCAGTAGAAAAACTCTTTGTGGATAAATCCAGTGGGGATTTTCCCTGGTAAATTTCCAAACTTTTCAAAAAAATGGCTCCAACAATTTTTATTATTTTTTTTTGTTTGATCGTGTGAAGGACGTTTAAGAGAATGGTGCATATATCATTATTTTTTGAAAATTGGAAAAATTCAATTTTTTTTCAGCATCTTCCTGTCACAAAAATTGCAAAGATACAGTTCCTTTTCTTAATGAAATGTGTTCATCAAAAACGTCTTCAGATAAGGTCGTGTAGAATTTTTCGAAAATATGAAATTTTTTTGAGTAATTTGTCATCAAGCATAATCGTCCACATCGAATTTGCTGCACTTAGGGAACGAAATTTGAAATGTGGTTCTAGACAGTTGGATGCTACACAAGTTAGAATTGGTGTATTATTTCGTACCTAACTTTTGGTAGGGTTAGTGTTAACTGTATTGTAACTTGACATAAATACCATTTTGCTTCCCAAATTTTTTTAAATCTCAAGTTAGTAATTACATATCTGGTATACACTAATGAATATATGTGTGTTCAAATAATGTCCTATAATGTTACTGGAAAACACGAAAGATTTTTGTGAAAATGAGCGCAAAATTCCGGATTTTCAGAATTGTTCAAAACCATTTTTTTTTCGAAAATAAAAGTATCGTACTTAAAATATTTTTGTCGCCAAGACCGCTCATGTGCAGTTTTGAATAAGATACGGTGTTAATCTAGGACGTGCGTTACAAGACTCGTATGAGCAGGCATAGACCCACGTCATCAGCGTTAGGTGAGGTGCAGCAACGCAACGCTCATGTGACGCAGGCCCAAAGGGGCTGGCTGCATATAGTGTGAATATTAATGCCATCTTTCCCATCGGACGTGCCTGTCTGTCCGCCGTGTCTTCTAAGTACCAAGTAATGTTCTTTAAGTTTCCGATTTCGATCAGGTGTTTGCCCAGTTTCCCTAAACCATTGAGCAAATGCCGAGAGAGACCCTTGTTTTGCTTCCAGATATTCTAGCTTCTTATTGCACAAGTTGTCGTCACTTTTTGCTACTAGTGCTAAGAGTTGAGCCATGAGGTATTACTATTTTGTTAGCAGGAAAAAAAATCTGCAGTTCATTTACTGATGCAAATAAGTTTTTTATATAACTTGGGAGCGAAAATGTCTAGTTTTCAAAAGTAATTACTTTTGCCTTTTTTTGTAACTTTGATTCGTCATTCAACTATTTAAAGTTTTAATGTTGGAAAGAGATTCTGGAGCTCAAGAAAACGTGTGCAGATGGTACTTCTCCTCCATAATTTTACTTATGTCCTCATAGGTTTTGGTTGATCAGTCTTGTGTAGAAGTTTGTTAGTTCTGTCAGTCATAATGATCATGGAGAATTTTGAAGCTTTTGATAAAATCTATGCATTGTCTTTTATAACATAAAGGTGGAATATTTAGTTTGCTTAATCGTTCTTCGTAAGATATATTCCAAATATCGGGAATTGTCTTTGTGGCTCTATTTTGGTCTCCTTCAAGTAGTGACATCCTCGATAAAATATGGACTCGAGACAGAAGAAGCGTATTTTAGCAGTGACAGAACATAAGTTTTACTAAGTGTTGTGAAAGATGATATGCAAAGAAATCAAAAAGCATTTTGAATCGGGAATAATACTCAATTTGCCATCTTACAACATTGTTGTAGTGGGCTTCCCATTTGAAATTGTTTTTATGACACCCTTATGATGAGGCTTTTTATCCAATTGGAAGGTTGCCGATGGTGTAACGATTAGCTTACTGGACGGTTATTCTCAAGTTGGCGAGTTCAAACCCGATCAAGCTGTGGATTTTTAAGGGTGAAAAAATCCTTTGTACACCTTCCTTCGGAAGGGAAGTAAAGCCGGCTGTCCCATGTTAGTAGATTTACTTGTGTGTAAAAGATTCTTAAGCCTAAATGACACCTGAGCTAAATTCAAATCGCCTGCTTGTTGCCCAAGAAATATCTTTTTTCTTCGTTAGTGGGTGAAAGGAGCGTAGCGAAATTTTGCGTGGTCAGACGAAGAGCGGCCCTGATGGCCCGAGTCTTATCACGTAAAATAAGGCATAAATTGAATTCAATTCAATTGCTTGACCATGGATTATGTACTGATGTGTTGGAATTGGTGTTTCTTTCTTTCTTTCTTCAAATGGAGAGTCTGCTTTGTGATTCATTGAGTGGCATCAGTCATCTCCTGATCCAGTCTTTTAAGTCCATCTGTAGGTGATCAGGGTTTTCAAGAGTATTGATCTATATTTTTGAATCCTCAGCGTACCTGGAGAAGTTGGACTTTAAGATGAACATGATTTCACTTGCAAAGAGGATGTGTAGTGTAGGTCCATGTCAACGCCACTAATGACTAGATGGGGAAGTTGACAAATTTTTCCCAACTTTCACTTAGAATATCCGCCCCAACAAGAAAGATTCCACCCACTTGCTTCTATGCTTGCATGGTTACCAGAAGATTATTAGTTGTGGATCTGTTGGGAACAAACCCGTGCTGATGTTGAAAAATAATCTCTTGACATTGAGCAAAATCAAACAAATTATTCATAACAATGCATTCTATGACCTTACAAGTAGAGCTTGTTTTTATGAGTTTCCTGTCTTGAGACATATTTTCTGAACCAATTGAGTTTTGAAAAATAGGTGCAGAGGAGAAGCTATTTCTGTTTCCCAATTCTTCAACAATATATGGGAATAGTTTCTGGTTTGGGGGATAAATTTGGATCCAGATGTAATAGAATGTTCGTAATGGCTTCTGCCCGAAAAAAAATTAGACATTAAGGAACACAGTTATGGGGGACCACTGCACAGTGAAGGTAGAGGACTATTATTTTCAGTTGAATTGAATCTCAGGAATTCTTTCGAAAGTTCTATTTTTGCTTAATCCAAATGAATTCTGTGACCAAACAGAGAGTTTGCAGGACATCTACAGTAGAGGAGATCTGATGGTGAATGTAAGCAAGCAGTTTGCAGTTTGTCATGCTATGTTTTTGTCATAAAACATTTTATCTGATGTAGGGTTTTGTTTATTCCATTGCATAGGCTTTTCTATTTGTTGTGGAAGTAAGGAGAAGTCGGCTTTTAATGTAGCCTCCTGATATTGTAGTTGTGTTGTATTTTCTTAAGAACTAATTGTTTAATCCAGGGTTTGGATTGATGGGGCAATTTTGTCTGATTGAATATTAAGAAACAATTATTTAATCCAAGGATTAAATTAGTTGGGTGGGTTTTTCTTGTTCGGGGAGTGGTAGAGAAGGTTCTACATACGATTTAATCTGAAAGTGGCTCCACAATTCATAGAGATCTAAAGCAGCTTCTGGTAGCAGAAATTGTTGGAGATTAGTTTTTGTAGATTTGCTTACCAGTGGTTCTTCGTCAGTCAGAGCAAATGGAGCTTTGAGGATGACACATTTATAAATTGATGGTGGGTACTGTGCGATCACTATTCCCAGTTGGTGTACAAGCTGTGAGAATATCAAGGTAGTAAATGTGTCAAAGTACTTGCAATCAGCTGGTGATACTTTCATTGTAGTTGGGTAAGGGCATGGTAATATTGGTAAGTTAAAATCACCGAAAATAATAGTCTCATCGTTATGGGATATCATGAACTGTTCTCAGTTCCCGCAGAATGTTAATATCATGGTCAGTTATGGTATTTGAAGGCAGGTGATATATAGCACTTATTTCCTTAATTATTGTCCATGTTGTACTTTTACCAATAGGATCTCAGGTCATTGATGTGAGAGAATGTAAGAGGGATATTGTCATTGCACAGTTGGCGTATTGCAACTCTGCCTCTACTCTCTTGTTTTGTTTATCTGTCTGTATATACAGTCCTTATACATGAACATAAAGGGCAATCATGTTATCAGGAATATTCTAATTGTATGCATTGTCTCAGTTAGGATTAAGATGCGTAGCTTATGTTCTTCAACGTTGATGTTGAATTTGGATAAGAGACTGGCAATAGTAGTATAATGAAATTTGCTGCTGGCATGCTCTAGTGTTAAAATGTTTCTTTTCTTTAATGGAAAAGTTTCCTAAAATGTTTGTTTGTAAGTTCGGACTTAATCTATTATCCTTCATTTAGATTTTTAGGTTTGATGAATGTGTTTTTATTAAAATTTCCTGTTGCTGGTTCCTCACGCTTAAGCATTCAAAAACATTGTTCAGCAAAGATTCTGCAGGATTTAGTTTTATATCTATTTTTTGGAAGTCTGCTTTCTTAAATAATTTGAAATTGATTTGTATTTTTCCTACCCTAACTAGAATGATGAAAATGATTAAGATGATAGTTTTCCTTCTTTTTATGTTTATGGTTTTATGTATGTGCACATTTGTAAAGATGTGAAATAAAGTGTTGCACCAAAAACTTTTGTTGCAGGTATAGCATCTGGAGCTGCAGCCCGGGCCCACAAACAGAGCCCTGCCCTGTGTGCGAGACACTGACCCAAGACAAGACGATGCAGTACAGCCAGCTGCGCGAGGAGCTGAGTGAAGATGGAGAGCAGCTTCTCTCCGACCTTAGCTCCCTGCAGCCCTTGCAGCTGAGTAGCGGCTGGCTGGACGATGCACTGGACCAGAGCGGCTGGGGCACTGAGCCCAACCTGCTGACTCGTGTAAGCAGTCGCCGTCGTTTGGTCTCTTGGGGGCAATGTGGAGAAGGATAAGCTATCGATTACTGGATTAAGATTTGGTGTACGGTTATTCTGATGACAGATGAGGATATTATATTGGTACCCTTAATGTATAGTAGGAAGGAGTGTAAACTGAAAACTGGAAAGGTATTAAAAGGACTATATAAAATTAAACTTTTTACGGAATATTAAAATTTGAATTTTGCCTTGCACGTTCTAGCTGTGGAAACAACTTTTTCATCTCTTGCTTTTCCCCCTTTCCCTATAAAATCTAGACTTGTATCAATGTCTGACTTTCTGTCTTTTCAGTTTACACTCCAGTTGACACAGTCTTTAGATGTCTTGAAGAAGACATTTCGATTCATTGCTCGTTATGCTGTTGCATGGCGTAATGAGCAACATTGCAGAGAGGCTATGTCAATATAAACTTCAATTTTTTAAACTTGTAAAATCAAGCTATTAACTTAATGCCAGTTTGTTCACGACAAAAAGAAAAAATAACAAAAATAAGTTGTGCTAGTGAAAATACTGCATTTCATCAGTTTCTTCCTTTCATGTACATTTTGATATTGTCTGCTGTAAATAGGCCACAAGTGAGCATTTTGGGATGCAATTCTATTTGAATGTATTGCTTTTTGTGGTTTATTGCTTAATTGACAATATCATAGTTTCATGTTGCTTTTGGAAGCAAAAGAAAGAAGAAAAAAAATCAGAAATTTTGGCATCTTGAAATTCTACATTCGTGTGAATGCAGATAGTTCGTTCCTGCGAGAGAGGATGGGAGGATAAGAGTGAGTGTGTTCAGTTGAGAAGTAGAGATTTACAGGAGCCCCATTGTTCTTCTCCAGGGATGACGTCCCCGCCACAACTTGGGTTCTGCATCATTTCATTTTGTCAGTTGGGTAGCGATGACCCGGAAGAAGTTGGAGTCAAGGTACTTGCAATTTTAAAATAATGTTTGGTTTCTCTTTCATAAAACAAAAAAAAATTATTTCTGAACATTTTATCTGAATATTTTAATTTCAGCATGCATATTGCCCACTCTTTAAACTTTGTAACCCCCATTCCATTGTAACATGTTTTTCTGGTTACAACATTTTATTCGTAGAATCCATTAATCAGATGTTTAGTATGTTTGATTTGATTCATTCTCAGTGTGGCAAGTAAACATTATGCTATGTTGACGAGTTTTAGCACTTCAACTAATAACATATTTGAGAGTAGGTTCAGTCATTCTATCATTGAAGAACACCACACATACACATTTCATCATTGTATGTAGGTGAATTTAAAGTCACATGTAACATCATTCTATGTGCTAAATTAAAGAAGAATTATAAAAGTAAAGGAAAAAAAGGAAAAAAAATCCCCATATACTTGTTTTGCAAGCACATATTACACAAAAATTAAAAAAATGTGTGTGACCTTAGAAAAATTGTATTTGTTTTGGAATTTCTTAATATAATTACAAATTTACTCATTCAATATATCCATGAGCACATATAAGAGCTTAAAAGTATTCTGGAAATTGGATTATAGGTGCAGTGATATCTAGTAGATGAAGTATTGTGCTATTTATTGCAATAACATTAAAGTATTGTTTGGAAACCTAAATTGAAAAAAAAAATGCTTATGATACATTTGGTCAGTTGGGGACAAATTAAGGAAATTGTGATCAACACACTCAATGCCCATTTCTGGTAAGAAATGGCAATCTTACTGTAATACATACTTTGAAATCTTTGTTCATTGTGAAGGGTAGTCTGTGCTTTTTTTCTTGTTAGCAGTTCTTTGGGTTGGAGATAGACAATTTTAACAATGTTATAGTTTATTTTGCTTGCTCTTTGATCATCTTCAGAGCCTGTGTAGATTAGTATTTCCCTTTCTTTCTTGATTATTTGACCTGCTGTCATACGCAGAATTCTGTGAAAAGGAATGGAGATTTCACTGTATGTAAATTATAAAAATAATAAAATAGTAAAGCAACTTGTGAAATTGATCTGTGTTTGGACAGAACATTGATCAAGTGTTGTTGATATTTTATGTTAAATTTTTGTTTGTGTTGACTTCAAAACATGCTGCAGAACTGCACAATTATTGTTTTCTGATGTACTGTTACTTGTGAATTTTGTTACAGAAATTTAAATTAAATAAAATGCATTAGTTATTAGCTGTGTTTTTGTGTGACCAAAGAGTTTGATGAACTAACTGTTTTGAAAATAATTGACTTGTATGCATGCTTGTATGGTTGGTTGGCTGTCTCTTATGAATGAAAGAATGAAAAATTGAAATAAAAGGCAGAGTATCCCAATTCAACATGATTTGAAAGTTGTTTATTTACTCATAAAATTTACTGAGAAAAAAATTCACCTAGATAACTTCAGGAAGTGGAGACATATATAAACACATCTGTGCTTAACGTCAGTGTTAGAGACGATAAACAAATGGGGAAAAGGAAACTAGTTTTCATTGGGATATTGAAGTAAAGAACATTTTTTCTGACTATAGGAAAACATGAAAAGGAAGGTTTTCAGTTTTGTTTTTGGTGAGAACTAAATAGAATTGTATGAAATGTGAATACTATATAAATACTTGAGGAACACTGGTATTTAGATTAGAGGAGAACTGGATGTTCTATGAAAAACAAAACAATTCAGTGACTTAGGGATTGTTTTTTTAACTTCAGTTATTTTAAAAGGAAACGAGTGGTCAAGAAGCAAGTATTTCCACTATAAGAAATATGAATATTATTTCCCTTTCTGTCCGGGAATGAATATTTGGTAGATTTCTTTTGGAAGGAAAAATGGTTTCAGATTATACAAACCTGATAATTTGATAAGATGTTTTTTCCAATGAAGGTGTTTAGTGTTTAATTGTGTAGCTATTATTATTCTTGCACAGAAAGATATAAGGCCAAAATTGGTTTTGAAAATAATAGATGTTGGTGTGTCAGATTAAATATTTTCTAATGTCTTGGCCCTGAATTTGGGTTTGAACTTATTCTGGTTTTATGTCCATGTTGCAAAATATTTTTAATTGTGCTAACATCCACAAATTCTGTAAGGTTTTAAAATCTTTTATTTCGACAGTAAAACATGTAAAAAAGCCTTATGTAAGTCAAGGTACAGGACTTGCATTAGGAAGTAGTGTGGGAATTTGTTTTTATTTTAGTGTTTTGAATAGCTGTTAAATTTGTTTTATTACTCACTTGCCTGCTTTTTTAATCTGTGGAATACTGAAGAACTCTTCAATGTAAATTTTTCACATCCTATGTCGTAATGTAAAGCACAGTGCTTTGTCATTTGGGATTAACTGAACATAAGAAAGAAGTTTTACCCATGGGGAATTTGAAAGTCTAGTTTTCATTGTTCGGTGTTGTATTAGCTAGTATTGCATAATTTATGAATTATTATTTATGCTCTGAAAACTGGAGAAACAATAACACCCTGTCCTGCGTGTGTTTTATTTATATATATATATATAAATAAAACACACGCATATATATACATATATATATTTAGCTACCAGTGTTGTTCACAGGCAACAGATATCAAATACGCAAGAATCATCCAATATGTCATCTTAAACGGGACATTTTGCAATATTCGTGAGAGAAAAAAAATTGAGATATTTTTCAGAATGTGACAATAATTAAATTATTTAATGATATATTGATAATACCTATAATTATATTAAGTTATAATAAATATATTTAAAAATGGAATATAAAACATAACTTCTCATTACAGTTTTACCTTCATGTATACGTATGTACATATAGGAATAATATATGTAGTATAGAGAAATTATATAATGCTGCAAAAAATGTATTGTGACCTGAACTGAAAAAAGTAGAAAACGTGTTATGTTGTCAAATTTTAGAAGTTACAAGTTCTTGATACTAAAAAAGTGTATTTTTTATCTTTTCTTTTTTTCAAAACTATCAGTCTGTTTGTTGTCTGTGAACAACACTAGCATCTAAACTATGCATAAGATTTTTTCCAAACTGAATAAACCCCTGAAGATTGCCCTCACTGTGATTTTGAAAAACGTTCATTAATTTTTTGGGGTATTTTATATGAAGCCACTGGAATATTTTCAAAATTTTCTCAAAAATTGCCTCAAATTTTTTTCTTTAAATTTCTGGCAAGAATAGAGTATAATACTTTTATAAAGTTGGGATGATTTTTTGATAGAGATAGTGCTATGTGTACTGTGTAAGATGACATTATTGCCATTTGTTACCTCTCTTTTTGTTTTTTAAAAAATTACACAAATGTATTTTTGACTTTGCTCTTACTTTAATATTTACATTATCAGCGATTTGTTCACATTATTGCATTTATAAGTACATGAACTTCAAACAATGTTATATAAAGTTTCGTAAAGACCTACAAGTTATACGCGATATTCAGCTCAAATTTCACTTTTTCAGAAACGCCCAAATGCCATATTCTGAAATACGGCACCAAACTTGTTTGGACTAATATTGCAAAATGTCCTGTTTAAGATGACATAAATAATTTTTCTGTATTCTTTTATTTTTACAAAAATTATGCAAATGTAATTTGTTTTAAATGTTTCTCACGCCATTGATATGCCCATTTACAGCGATTTGTATACATTATCGCATTTGTGAGTGGAAGTGCTTCAAATAACGATCAATGAAGTTTTTTGAAAACTTGAGTATTCTGTGAAAAATAATCAAATTTCGCATTTACACTGATGCATAAACAATATTTTCACATCGTCTCCAAATATATCAATGAAAATTTCCATATCATGAGGTTTTACTCTTGTATAATTTTCTTAAAGTAATAGTTTGATTCTACTATAGGAAACAGAAAAAATGCAATTTAAAAAAAAAAAAATGTAATAGATGGTAGCTGGTAGGAGGATGGGGCAAAACTGTAAAGCTAGGTCAAGCCAAAGAAATTAGAAAATCAACTAGTAAGAGTGTGCTGATATACAGCACCACTATTTAAAACTTAAAAATTTGGATTGAAAAAAAAATTAATTTTACAGAAACTTAAATTGCATGACATAATGGAATTCTTGAAATATAGAATTCTGAGATCAGTGAACTAACTTCAAAGCATTGGGGAGCCTCAGCTATTGCAAGAGTAATAATGTATTAAATTAAGTTTTGAAGTAAAGAGCACTTCACTATTTTTTTAAAATTTCTTTATTTAAGTTCACTTTATAACATTAGGTTATCAGCAACCCCCTACCATTATACAACTAATAAACATGGTTTTCAGTTTTAACAAGAAAAAACATTGTCAGATTTATTTACATGTTCATAAATTACATAGTATGTTTAAGCTTGCTTGTGTACTATTACAATATTCAGTAGTTACATAAGAGTTCAGTTTTCTAGTTTCTAAGGGTTTTAATATCTTGATACACTTGTCTAGGGAATTAAGCAATAATTTTAGAAAAAAATAATTGAATTTCGTTGTATATAACTTACATAGCATGTGCAATGGTTATAATTATATTTTTATTTTTTTATTGTGAGCGGAAAAAATTGGTTCAAATATAGACAAATCTGTTTTGGCTAGGGCTTGAACTACTGTAGATGGTGTTCATTTAAAATACCACCTTATACCAGTAATGGAAAAATAAGATTTTTAATTCAAATGTGACTATATTCTAAAATTCATTATAAGTTGAAAACAGTCTATATATTATCTGAATATCTTTTGTAAAATAACATTGGTACGTTTGTGACAACCATACAGGTTAGATTTCCCCACAAATATTCTAAGACGAAGGTAGGCAAAAGGTGAGACTTAAGCCAGAAGAGTTTCTATTTTTGGTATTTGGCATTACACCTTCGACAATCGCCTCCACGATCAGAATCAACAATTTGATAATCGGCCAATACAGAGACAAAGGGCAAATATGATGTAAATTTCCGTCTGCACGTCCTGTTTCTGGTAATTCATAGAAATATCAGTAATGTTTCATCCACCTGAAAGTTGATCGTGTCTCCTTGGTTTGGATCACAGGAATTTTGGTTAAGGGCTCCGTGGGCGATGCGCTGATCGGTTGTGCTTGTCAATGCGTCACTTGCGTGGGAGGACGAGCGGGAGTTTTGCGAGCCAAGAGAGCGAGATAATATGAAATTTTTAGAATTGACACAGCTTGCAACAAATTGAGTTATGGATATATCAGTTAAAAGATTTTTCAATTCTAGCTGACAATTAGTATTTTGCATTAATTTATTGGCGATTTCTTTCTTGGTAATTATAATAAAGCCATGTAATTTACTACTATCAGGGTAGGAACGCCAATTTGAGTAACATAAAATGGACTACCTTGCATAAAAAAGAAACCTCCCTAAACCAGAATATTAAGTCCGTATCGATTCCGGCTTAGATTTTACTGTAACTATTTAGCCATAAATTAAATGAGGTTCGTGAATATTGTAAACGGCACTCATGTTATCTAGACATTGCATGGACCCTCATTCATTTTTGATGTTACACTACTTTTACAAAAACCTAATAAGAACCCTTCAGTTTCGCTACTATGCTCTGTTTTCTTTGCATTATTAATTCTATTTTCGATTCTATAAAATTAATATAATTAATTATTAACATTAATTAAATGAATGCCGTAACACTTTAGATTTAAGGAATGTTCACAATATCGTCTCCAGTGTTATGATTTTAGCTCGTCCACTCAAAATGGCTGCAAAGTCACGTTTCACGTGGATGGTGGTCAGTTAATTGACTACCATTTCAATAAGTAAAGCCTCTCAAACAAAGTTAACGAAAAGTGAACTCTTAAGCAACCACTTATCAATTCAGGAACGCATATTCTGTTATGGAAGTGCAGTTTTCAATATAAAAAGCAAACTGTTCAGAACTTATGGCAGGTGGTTAATAAATTGACCATGTATACAGGATTAAATTATCACCAGAGAATTCAAGCCAGGTGGGAGGTTGAGACTACTGCATCACACTGGATGGGGTTCTGGATCTGACCTCTTGAATAAATGGCAGACGTTAAGATTGAAATGACCTACCCTTAGTCTTGTAATTATAACCTTCCTAATTTCTTAGACAGACGGGTGTAAACGTGATGGAATTGCATGTTGCGCCATATTCCAGACATCAATTAATAAAATTGATTCTCACTGCCTTCTGGATTACTTCATAGCTGCTCGTGAAGTGTGGGCAGTTATTCAAGCCACTATACACAAGATCTAGAATAAACATGAAGTCAACATACAATATCTTCTATCTTTTTCTCTGGAAAATATGTCTTCGTGATCAGGGTGTAGTTTTGACAGTGGAGTGTCATTTCTGGATCATCTCGATTACATTATAACTAAATCAAACAATACGTGACTGTAAAACATGTGAAGAAATCTATTCAGTACAAATCTTGAGATCCCTTTACATTATGCTCGTCAAACCTATTCTATCTTGTGCCTCCCTGATTTGGTCGCCATATCAAATTTTGTCATATAAAACGTCTTGAAGCCATCCAACACAGGGTGTTTTTTTAGAATGGCTGCCTTTAAACTCAACTTACCTGATCCTTATATGATGAAACATGAATAAACAGCAATAGCTCGGTCACCCAACATCGCTGCACTCGAGTCTTGTAGAAACTATACATCTCTAATTTTCTTATATAAATTAATTCATGGAATCAGAGAGCCCTCTTCTGCTCCAGCAACTATGCTTCAGAGTCCCTGCTACCCACATTAGAACTACAAATGTTTTTACACTAATATGTTCAGCGCATCATATGCCAGCAATAACCCTATAAATAGAACTTGTTAGTCAGCGCTCATGAAATTGATATTTCGAACCATCGTATGCGACATTCAGAAATCACTCTGAGCGAGAAATGCATGATTTCATTATTCTATTTACTTATATAAACTCCAACTGCTTTTTTACACTGCTTGTGAGTTCATAAAACACACATTGTAACAATTGTATGTTTTTATTGTATTTTTCTACTGTTTCATTGTATCTAGTTTGGCTAGAAAAGGATTTATTAAAAATAAAATAACATACAATATTAGTCCAGTCACTAGGTATCCAATCCAGGCGGAACAATTCTAAGATTTTTTTCTTTCCGCTTTTACATGTCTTAGGGGAGGTGGATTTGAATTTGAAGATTGCCACGATACATGATTTCACAAAGAAAATTGTAATAATCATAAATTTTTTCATACTTCCGCCTTTGTCAGGACAACTATGCTGTGCATCGAAATAACCTTGCGACACAAAATTAAAGTGGACAAAATTCTCTACAAATTACATCTTTTAACTTTTTTAAAAAAATAATTCGTTTAGGCACTAGATCACACTGAAAAAGTGGTCACTTTTGGGCCATCTTGTCAAAACCGTAGAAAAACGCATTCTCCCACCCTATTATCGCACAGTGGCGCTTTCATTCACTACCTTATACTTGAAAATGACTATGACTAAT